TATATATATATATATATATATATATATATATATATATATATATATATCCTATTGAATGCAGTGAGGCATAGTCCTAGGTAAATGTGCATAGGATTACAACAGAATTATAAATCAGATTATGGTTTACAAAACCCATAGTTCTTCAAACAGATTATGGTTTACAAAACCCATGATTCTTAAAACTATATTAATATTTTTTATCATCCTGTGGTAGTATTAGTTTAATTTTATTTACAGTTATCCTTCCACTTTTTTGCTTCTCTTTTTTTTTATACCCTAAAGCTACTGAAAGAGATAGCACGAAAACGCAGAAGCATTCGTTTGGGGAGAGAAGCAGATTTAAAGCCATATATTGCAGCACACTTTGAAGTTCTTCCTACTGAGTTCACCCTGGGGGATAAGAAACAGTATGGTGGTTTTGAGAACAAGCAGCTCCAAAATGGCCAAGAATATGTTGTCTTTATTTTAGCTGTGATGGAACACTCAGAATCAGTAAGTTGGCTGCAGGTTTGATTCCTTAAATGTAATATTGAAAGACTCTTATCTTATCTCCACACAGTTCATACTTTGGTCATGTTCTTACATACTAAAAAATATTTACATGTTTTGGATGACCTGTGTTATAAGAATACTTTCTATCTACTTTTTAAAGAATCTAGATTGATTGATTGATTTAATCTAATTTAGGTGGTCACCCATCTTATACAAGGGGAATCTTAAAATCAAATATAAACATTTAAAACAATTACATATTTACATAAGTGAAACCAACATTGGAGTTAATTAGGAAGAGGAAGACAAACATTGGAGTTAATTAAGAGGAAGAGAAAACCCAATGTACAGGTTTTCTATTTTTGGGATCCCTAGGCCTACTGAAAAAAAAAAAAAAAAACCATACATTTTCAGGTCTTTCCAAAAAGCCATAAAGGTTGGAGCTAACCTCACCATTTAGGTCAACACGCAATGAAGCAGCAAGTGTGCACAACTCTACTTTCTCCTTCTGCCTTTATTTACCTTCTCATATTGATATGGCATCATCAAACCATGATATGTGTGTTTTTTCTAGCTATATGGTATGTCATTCACACACACATATATATATACAGTTTGTCCCCAAATTGAAGGGGTAATGACTGAATACAACATATATTAAAGACAGTGACATAGAAAGTGAAGATAGATTTAATTCTTTAAGTATTTCCATTTTTCAGAGTTGGTATCCTCATTTGAATCATCATAGAATATTTTCTGCTTTGTTTCTTAAAATATTTGATAATTACTAAGGCATGAATTTTACATCTAAACGTTCTTCTTTCTTGTCTCGAAACGTATCGTCCAGACAATGTTGTTCTTTACAAAACATTTTTGGAAAACAGGAACTAATCAAGAAATGCAAAGCTGACTTCTTTAATTACAGTACTTTGCCACAGACCAGCAGTGAAATGTAACAGAATTAGAAAATATTGTAAGAAAAAGTAGAATTCCTGAATTGGTTTAAATAACTAATTGTACTGTTGTGCAATTCATCTGTTTCATATGTTCGTTACACACTTGAATTATTTTAACTTTAATGTATTTTTAAAAATAAAAAAGGAAGGGAAATAGGCTTCTGAGAAGGAAGAGCAGCCAATATTAACATTTCAATTTGCAAGTTACATGGGTTTTTTTCTCAAATTGCTTGTTAACCTGTCACATGTATTTAGTAGGTTGGCTTTGTTGAATTTAATTCATTTTAGTTAAAGGCTTATTGTAGTTGTTTTTCCCAAAAAGTTGTTAATGGCAAAAAGTCATTTTACTTTAATATTATTTTACAATTATACTTGTGTTCGAGAATGATCATCTCAGGAATCCTTTTTCTAGTTTGTTTGAAAAGTCTTGCCCATGGATATCATGGATACTTTCTGAATACTTTACACTATATCTTTAACTGTGATAAGGCAACAAAGTTTGTTGTGGCTAGTTCTAAACATATATGCAATAGAATGTCTTATATTCCCCACTATGTTATTAAGTCAGATTTTTCTCCCATCCAGACCATGTATGCAACCAGCCCATATTCTGAAACAGTTGTATCAGTGGATCTTAATCCCCAGCCAATTACTGAAGAGGAAGAGGGTTTGATCTGGGTTGTAGGACCAGTCCTTGCAGTTGTATTTATCATCTGCATTGTTATAGCTATCCTACTTTATAAAAGGTAAGTTTACAAAATAGTGTACAGAGAAGGGTGGACTTTGGATGTGTTAATTAATTGCATTGAAAATATTTTTAGACTAAAAAAGAAGCTTCCTTACATAAAGGATTCTTTTTAGACATTGAATAAAATCAGTATTTCATTCTTAACAGAGGAAGATATCATCCAGCTAGATGTCTCTTCTAGATTTCTGTAAAAAACCCATACAAGAGCAATAATTTATCAGGAAAGAATACAATCTCATTGTCAGTGTATTTTTTTTTTCTTGGAACCAAGGAGTAGGTTTTGCAATTTATGCTTTTCCATGCCTTATTTTAGTTTCATCTCTTACCAATTGACACTATTATCATCATGCTATTTATTCCTTTTGACATTACCATGTGTGGCTATATAAATTAGTTTCATGTCTGAGAACTGGCTGGGGAAAAAAAAAATCATGCTTTCTACCAGGGAAAACAATATATTCTTAAGGGGAAAAAAGAAGATGGTTTTATTTGTTTTTTATAAGAGGCAAAGTGAGACAAGAGAAGAAATGTGATAGATTATTACTTGGGTTTCTTTACTCCAAAGAGATTCTTTTTCATCTTTTCCTACAAGTAGAGAATGTTTACATCAAATTCAGTAAGGTGTTAGGGACTACTAGATCTGTACCCTAATTGTGAAAGAGCGTTTTCTGTCATGGTAACTTACTTTGCCATTGGCCAACTAACATTCACCTTTTCTCTCGCTTTTTTTCTGCCGCTTAATAATGGAGCAGTAAACCTGACAGGTGAGATAAATTTTAAAAAAAACTTGCTTTCCATTTTCTCAGAAAATGGGAAAATGAGAAAACAGTTTAAAAATAGCTTGTTTGAGTTTCCAAACAGAATATTTGTCAGTCTAAAGGAATCCAAACAAATGTACTGTTTGGAAAAGGAGGCAGACCTGAAGTTTAAAATATATATTTTTTCCCAAAGGAAAAGGAAACATATAAAAAACAATGAAGGCTAAACTAAAAAAAAAAGCTTTAAAAATCCTGTTCACTGTCCAGATACCCATTTTGTGGATTTAAGATTAAAATTGAAACTAGTCCTGGAACCCAATGTGCTCTGGTAAATATGTGTGTTCAACACTTTAGTACATGTTTACACATATTCATATATTTGTTTGAAAGCCTGCTCGAAGCTACACTTAAAAATAACAAGAGAGAGAGCTAAACAAACTTACAGGGATTAAATTCAAAGCTACTGACTAAAATTAATGGCCTGTAAAATAAGCCATCCCATTTATACAATTAATTGATGTATTCTGCTATATCATATATCCTTTCACATGCACATATGTGAACACATATTCATGCACACACTCCTGCTTCCCACTTTCCACTAGAAACAGCAAAATAGAACAAGTAGAAAGGTAGATGCAGGAAAACAAATAGAAATAAGTAAACATGGAGATTAAATAGGTAGACAGGGAAAGAAGGTATGTTTAGTACTGAAATTCACCAGAGACTGAGCAAGTTTAGTGTGTCCTCCCTAACCTTGGGCATAACTAATCATATTCTCAAAGGTATCTCCCAGTAAAAACATCAGAAGATATTTCAACTTCATATTAATTCACTTTTTCAACCACATCATCAGAAAAAAAAGTGACCCCAATTTACAAGTAATTTTTTGAAAGAAAGTATTTATCTCATTATCAGGTAAATACGGTATGAAAAAATCAAGATGCCATAAAATAGCACTCAGCATAGAGATTCTCTTCTTTGAACTTGCTTATAAAAGAAAAAAAAAAACCGTTCAATCTTACATATTCACCTTTTGGGTATTGCTAATGCTAGCATAAAATCAGCTTGCCTCATCTTAAATAAAATGATACAATTCAGAAAATGGAGCTGCAGAGGAATTAGGCGATAGCCAATAGTTTGAACATGAACCGAATTTTTTTTCTTCAAATAACTTTAGAAAAGCCGTAAATTTAAGGTTCGATACATTTTGAGATTTCAGTAATCACTGGGTCCATTCCAGAGATTAAACATGTACAAATATTATTGAAATCAGTGCACTTGTAACATTTAATGCTATTGTGTTCTTAATTTTGATTGTCCTATATTCACCGAAAAAATTAAATACATGCAACATGTTTCATAACAGATTATTCTATTAACATAATTGTGCCATTTTCATTGATTCTACAGAACTTGGTTTCTGTGTTGATGTTTTAAGATCCTAAGTGTATATAAAAAACAATATGTTAGAATGTACATAATTATGGATTGCTAGTGTTTCTTTGGCAAGAGGGGTAGTAATATCAATAATAAATAAATAAATAATGATTGTATTCACTTTCTCAATGCAGGAAAAGGGCAGATACAGACTCTAGAAAGAACAGTATCCCCAACAGTAAAGAAATTCCTTCACATCATCCCACAGATCCAGTAGAACTAAGACGCCTAAATTTTCAAACTCCAGGTAATTTGCAATATTCTATTTTAATTATTAAACAACATATCCCCATAGAAGATTTTGGTGTTTTATAGCAATAAATACTGTATGATTTATTTATTTTTACCTTTGATTATGTTGCTTCTGTTGATTATTGAAGACTTAGTTTAAAAAGATTTCTGTTTCAAACTGTGCTTCTTTCCTGTTGGGTTTATCCTAGTGAGATGTATCAAATTAATAATATTTCATCTTTAATTAATGTTATCTTTAGAAGACCATAGTTAGGAGATAGACTAGTGGGATACTTAATGGTGTTCATAAATTCAAGATAATCATGTCCTTCCTCCCTCAAATGTTCCATGTACTGTCTTAATTAGAATCTCATCTTGATGAGGATTTAAAATTCTTTAAAAATGTACAACACCAGAAGGAAGAAAAAAAGCCAGAGGTAACAGGAAAAACTATTAAAAGGCTCAAGAGGAAAAAAAAAAAGTGGCTAGTTAAGAAATAACTACAGATAGTTCTTGACTTACAATTGTTCATTTAGTGACTGTTCAAAGTTACAACAGCACTGAAAAAAGTGACTTACGACCATTTTTCACACTTACAACTATTTCAGCATCCTCATGGTCGTGTGATCCAAATTCAGACTCTTGCCAACTCAGTTATATTTATGTTGGTTGCTGTGTCCCGGGGGACCATGTGAACCCCTTTTGTGACCTTCTGACAAGCAAAATCGAGGGGAAAGTTAAATTCATTTATAACAATAGTGTCACTAACTTAACAACTGCAGTGATTCATTTAACAACTTTGGCAAGAAAGGATGTGAAATGGGCCAAAATTCACTTAACAAATGTCTCACTTAACAACAGAAATTTTGGATTCAATTGTGGTTGTAAGTTGAGGACTACCTGTATGTTATATACCAGCATTGCAGCTTTCATACTGTATAGAAATTCAGTAACATTTTGTATTAAGTAAATTATGCTTTCTGTATTGAATTATTAGCACTGAATATATGCTATATGAATATATATTAGATATAGATACTGTTAAAGCCTTTATTGCTTCTTTTACACCCAGTTCTCTGTTGGAAATCCATTTACTCATGCATGCTTATCACTCCATTATTGGCCTGTATGTAAATTGCCATCGTAGATCAAATCTTACAAGCATGGCTTTTATGTTTACATTAAGTAAAGCAAACAATACTTACATACAAAAGAGAAACACTTGAGATCAACTGCCTGACCCATGCAGCTCAGTAACACTACAAGCAGTATGTATGCTGGATTACTTCATCTAGAATGCACTTTATCTTGTGCAGAATGAAAGTCCTGAGTTAAACCTAAAATATGTTTCTGAGAATGAGAACAATCTGTCTTCTCAGTTTCTCAAATTTAGTTTAACTCCTTGACATATTTTACTTTGATATGAAAATATAAAAAGAATAAAACATGATGGATGAAAAAGATTAATGTAAAAGGAAAGTAAACCCAAAAGTTGCAACAAATTACTTGTTGAACAACATTGCAACAATTGAAGAACTATTAGGGACAGTTGGAATTACTGCAGCTTTCAATTTAATGATCGTTTCACAGTTTTCAAATCTTATCTCTTGTCTCTATAATAAATTTTAATACGGCAGGAAATTCGACACAATTTGATATTTTTAGAATCTCAAACCCTTTGAGACTTTTTAATGGGAAGTAATGTACAAATGTTTTCAAAGGGTAAATCAACACAATGCCTTCTCCTCAGTTTTCCTCCATATAGTACCTGTGTTTTTAACAAAATGAATTGAAAATCGCTTTTCAGACATTAAGAAATTCACTTAACCAACATATGAAAAGGTAAAAGGAGAATGCAGTCAGTAAATTTGCCCTTTGTTCTTCTTTGTCAAAGTTAGCATGATAAATGTAAAGGCCTCTCTGTCTATATGACTAGGACAATGTCCAATATACTACTACTACTTCTAAGTCTTCAGAAGTAACCAGATGTTGGTTTATACTGGTTTCAAATGTCTGAATAGAACTAATATCATAGTAAAAGGGCACATGGCAAACCAATTGAGTTATATCTATTCAAAAATATCTAAGCTGGATCCAATTTTGTATTCACAGAAGATATGGTTGAGACAATATTGCAGGGGTAGATATCCAAATTCTCATTAACATTTTTGCAATTCCATGTGGTATTTATGACTACAGGAAGGAGAATGTTCAAATGACTATCTCAATCTCTTACTTGAGAGGAACCCTCATTAAATTTTGGAACATACTGTGAATTACAGCTTTTTCATTATTGGAGATTATACCCATTATAGATTGTAGGAGTTTGGATCTATTATAATTGAAAATCACAGAAAAAAGATTCCTAAAGATTCATTGCAAAAGTTGCTGGTAGAAGTAGCCACATTGTTTTAATATTATTTATATTTGCAGCACCACAACTGTAATTTAATAAAAAAAATTGAAAAATCAAAAAAGAGTGAAAAGTTCATTCCTAAAATTTCAAGTTATTAATTAATAAACCTATTCTTCTTAATACTAAATCTATGTCAAATGAATCCATGAGCAGTAGCATTGAGACTGTACATAATGACCCAGTCATCTCTTGATGCCTAGATTACATGCTTCTTCCTGACTAGACTACATGCATACAAAAAGCCTGATTCAAATGTAAGCTGTGTCAAGGGAAGGCAATTTCTTGCTACCTTCCTCTTGTATTTCTTAAACCAAAACCTTGATCACATCCTTGATCAGATGTGATGACTGTAGCATTTCTCTTACCTTTCTTTGTTTCTTATAGTCATGTCAATATGCAAAGTCACTTGTGTAACACACAGATACCAAAAGATATAAAATGGGGCATATATGGCAGATTTCTCCCATTCTACAAATCACTCCATGCAATTGGAGAACTAGCAGCAACAGACACATGTCTACATTTGGACATGTCCATCCTCTAAGAGTGATAAATATAAATCTGTCCACGATGTTACTCTACCTGTTTATCTTTATTGTAAAAAAAAAAAAAAAAAACCTGTCAAAAGAGCAACGCTGAATGAAGCCAGAAGGAGAAATCAGTGCTGCTATGCTATGAGGGCCTATTTTTTTACTCAAGCGTGATGGTCTTTTGAGAGATGACATATGTATTTTAGACCTGCATATAGATATATATAGACAGTCTAGATAACATTTGACCTATGCATTGCAAAGCCCTGGTCAGGTATTATGCAGGTGGACACTTCTATGGAACCAGATGTCTTCACATCTTTTTGCTTTCAAAACTAAAGTAGCCATTAAGAGAGCAACCTGAATGAAAGGGAGTATCCTTGCAGCAGCCAAAACTAGCCAATAAAAGATGATCAGAACCTAGCCTTTGACTATATCAGAATCTCTGTTATATAGGAAGCATCTCTGATTGTTCACACAGCATAAGGTGATCAGGTTAAATGTAAAGTAGTTCATAATAGGCTGGAGAAGAATTTAAGCTGCATGAGGATGTTTCCTGAAAATAATCAGTAACCCCAAGAGATGATATATATTCATTAAACCCATCTTCAGTGAACCTGTTCTTAAGGTGTATTTGCTTTCTTACTTTTGTTCCCCATGGGAAGCTGAGCAAATGTGAACATTTAGCATTTTTTAATTCTTGGGATGAATGAGAAGAATGATGCTACTGCTCATGTGCTTTTGTTTGCATATATCATAGCTTCTTATGTGCATGATAAAATTATTACTTTCTTCAGAAGCATACATCACCGGACAATAGATGTAGTTAGTAACTGAAGAATGCTGTATCTCTAATATACCTGGGCAAATGGGATGCTTGACAATTAAATCTGATACATGCATGCTTTTGCTTTTGTATAGCTTGCACCAGGGCTACGTAATTTCCATTTCTGTGTTGTTTGATTTATTTTTTTCCCATCTCTCTTTCAATATAATAGGGCAGTATGGAGGGAAGAAAACATTGGCATATGCTGTTCCACCCATATCTGTTAATAAAAATGCTCTTTGGATACATTGTCATGCAAATATGCATCAACAGTGGATGCTTTCCAGATTCATAACAACAAGCCATCTGTATTCTACAGTATTTAAGTTAAAATGGACTCTCGAATGCAGAAGCCCATTACCAGTTGAAATTTCTTGATCATGCTGAGGACAGTATTTGGCCTTTAGTTGCCAGTTATATAGCAAAAAAGCAAATTCATTTTCAAGCTAAATAAATATAAATTATAATCATCTGTATGCAGCATGTGCTTTAGAATGTATAAATGATAAATAGTGGATATGGAATAAAAGGTAGAGAAGTAAAAGAAGGAAGGAAGGAAGGAAGGAAGGAAGGAAGGAAGGAAGGAAGGAAGGAAGGAAGGAAGGAAGGAAGGAAGGAAGGAAAGGAAAGAAAACCACACACAGTTGTACTACTTTTCTACTTATTTCCTTTGATGAGATTATTATGAAATTTAAGAAAAGGCATTCATTTTATATAACTCATAAACATAATAATAATAGATGGTTGATTCTAGAAGTGGTTTAATTTTCTTCTTAAATAAACTTATCCTTTCTGCTTAAATAAGTGAACAAATTGTGTACCACATCTTGATAAGAATCAAATGCCTCCCTGTAGAAGGATAATGGTCATATAAATACCAAAATACAGAAGGAATTCTTGTCTGAGATATTTCAATATGGATACAATAAAAATAGTTAAAATCATGGGACATGATTTTAACATCTTGGACCACTTATCTCTACTAAAGAGTGAGACCATTGAAGATTTTGTTATTTCTGTATAAGCCTGCATTTGAGGCTTATTATTTAGAACTTATCTATTATTTCATATGAATGATGTCTTGGTTTTCAATAATATAAAATTGAGTATTGAGATCCAGTTCTGCAATAATATGACTTACTAATACAGCTGTTCAGTTCTGTCTATGAACAAATTAGGGTAGTCTGACCTGTCTGTCTCTTTCTCAGTTCTGAATGTCCACATTGTACTGTGCATGCAGAATAGTACCTCAGTCTCTGTAAAAACTGACTTAATATGATGGTGTACTGCTGTTACTAATTTCTTTCCCATTTCCAATTGGCTTTACTTTTTACAGCTTTGAGCAGTAATTCAGTCCCCTACGCCTCCCTGATTGGCTCTGTGTCTTCCCTCTCTAGCCAAACTACCACTCAATCCTTATATGATAATAACTCTCTCCCACGATTCGCTCGAAAAGGTCTAAACATCTTTGTCTATTATTTTATCTGTTCACTGTTTTAGATGTTCCATTATTCAGCTTCCATTTCTGAATAAGCCTAGCATTTTCTTGTGTCTTTTTCTCTTTCTTTCTATATTGTGTCATTGGGATGCTCAATCTGGATTAAAAATGTGTTGGCTATTTCTAAAACAAATCACCCAGATTAAATATTCCATACGAAGATATGAGAGATACTAAAACATCTCCCAAATTAATAAAAATATTTTTCTTTTCTTTTCTGGTAGTCCTTTCCATAATGTGTGGGCACTTTGTATGCTAACCAAACAATCAAAAGAACTATTATGTATCTAATTAGTTCTGCCGCATCATATTATCTTCCATAGTGCTACCTTCAGTGCCACCAGTAGGATTTAAATGACATGCTGGTGATGACCCTTCCTTCATTAAGCCAAAAGTTCTATAATCCTAGTAAGGACATAGCAAATGTAATTTATATCTTTATATTATCATTTCCGGATCATGACACATAAAGCTGTGTAGCATCATGCAAACTATCTTTCAAAGTTGCAGTGATGAAACAGCCTGATCTATGGAAAATATGGCTTCTAGCTTGAGCCACCCACTCCTCCTTTCAGTTGCCATCTTTCTTTTGTTTATACATAATGTCCATACATCCGGGGTTTGCTAGTTTAAAACTCTAACCAATTTTATGTCTCCCTACAACAAGCTATTTTAGGCAAGCTTACAATATGGGAAATACAGTGAATGGGTGGAAAATCATCCACCATGAGCAGTTGAAAAAATATGTATTCATTTGAGCAAATACTTGTGGATTTGCTAAAATCTTTAGCTTGGCAGATCATGCTAGTTGACCCCATTTTGCCCCTTTACACTGTCTCCAATTTACCCTGTTGCTTTTCTATCCCATCTCATCCCACTCCATTCCTTCCCTGATCCTTCTCAATGTTCATTGTTTTTCCATCTGTAGACAAAGATGTTTACACCTGAAGTAGATTGTAGGTAATTTCTGGGGGTTGATAAAGGGACGGGGTTGAGATTTTTATCTTTTCTCTGAGAAAGTAGGATGAACTGCATGTTTGTGTTTCACAAAACTGATTCCGTACAACCCCTGCCACTACAATCTGCTACTAGTGGAAACATTTTTGAAGCTTTAAATGTCTGATGTACAATCTTGTCTTTATTGACTGTTGTCTATAAACTGTAATGCATGTTGACTCTGACTATCTGTAGCTGCATGTGAATGTCCTAAATTTTTGTAACATGTTTTGAAAAATCATTAGATTATTCTTTGTCTTAATCAACTTCTCCAATTCTTGAAATACAAGAAACCCACTTTCTTAAGAACCAAGCTATTAATTTATTTCATTTCATTCAATTTTATAATTACACATTAGTTTTTTTTTCTTCCCCTGTTTTATTTTTGAAACCTCTTATTGCAGGACCAAGTTTCTCTGGTTACCCTGGTAATCTACATTCTTCAAGTTAGTTTTCCTCATAAGTTATTTTGTCTTCAGCTCTTCTAACTCTTTAGGGCTCTTTGGTTTCTCCTTGCCCTTGATTCACATTCTGTTCACCTAAGTCCAACACCATTTCCATTTCACACAGTTCAAGACAAGGGATTATATATATTAAGAATCATTATTCAAAGAGAAATGAACATAAGGTCTAACTATCTCATTCTTTGCACTTAGCTAACTTCATTAAACTTTGGCATAATGTATATGTGTATAATGATATATTGTTTTATATATATAAACATATATATGTATATAGTCATTCTAACACTAGAGAATGGTTGTTTGGGAAAATTGCTTGATTTTTTTTTGTTTTGTTTAGTAATCTGGCTTCAGAGCATGTCTTGCTTTAAGTGACTATATGCCTGCTTCTATCACCTTAAAACATCTTTACTATTTACACATTTTATAGCCATTTTAATTGCTATATTTTAAAAATTTGAATACTAGTACTTGTCTTTCATTATTTTTCAACTTCATCTTTTTTCTACTTTAACAGGTATGGCTAGCCACCCACCAATACCTATTTTAGAACTTGCAGATCACATTGAAAGACTGAAGGCAAATGACAACCTGAAATTTTCCCAAGAATATGAGGTAATGGCTCCCAGGTTTCCCAGGAGCTGATTCATTGATAATTTAGAATGACAATATTAATAGGTTGGAATAAACTCCCGGGAGATACAACTTCTGTCTATAAATATAAAACATAAATTAACATAATTCAAAAAGAAATAACGCAAATTTTCAAAAAGTAAGACTGAATTTCTAAATAAATGTCATAGCAAGCTTGTTGAATAGAATAAGATTTCGGCGTAAGTATTTTAGGATTAATTGCTTCATTATTATTATTTATGCCATTTTGAATATTTAAAGCAAATTCATAAAAAGTCAGCATTTTCTCCCAGAAGTTATTTTCAATTATTTAATGTCCTGCTTGAAAAGGAAAGGATTTTAAATCTCTTTGGGAGACATTCTGTCCAAATCAGTTCCTTTTATTGTTGAAATAGAATATAAATAGGTTGGAAAAAGAAAAGGGGAGTGTGGAAGGATCCTAGGATAGGAGGAATGGAAAGAAGTGACTCAGGTAACAAGAGCATGGAATACTTTTCTTTTAGTATCAATAAATACTTGAAAATATTTAATTCTTACATGCCCTTCTAAAATTTAAAAAATTAGCCAATTCGGGAAAAGAATTCTAAAATCAATGCCTAACAAAAAAATAAGAAGACATTTCACCAGCATATTAACATTGAATGGATAAAACAGTGAATTCAACTAAATTCAATACAAGTAAAATTAGTACCTAAATAATTTGGGCAGAAAAATATGAAAACTTGTCATATGTGTAGCTAACTTTATGACTCCACAAGAATTTAAGTAATTAATTTAGAATTAGGTTGGTTCACAGAGTAAATGTTGCCTATACTAAGGATTGGTGTAGTTATTATTACCTTACTGTTCATTAATTCATGAGTTACACATTTTAGTAGCATCATGAGAAGTTATTATGAAGTACCTCTTAATATCCCATGGATAATCACTCCCAGGATGCACACAAACACAGAAGGACCCTACTCAGTAGATATGGCTGAAGACAATAGGGCCACATTCATTAAATACCATTAATTATTGCTAAAGCACAATATGTAGGGGAAGCATGCAGAATTCTTGCAGATTTTTTCCCTTAATAGCAATTCCACTCTGGCTCATGCTACTAGGTAAGGTGGAGCTTCATAATTGGATGGTCAGTAGTCTTTCAAGCTGCTTTCCCATTGGAAAGCATTAGAGGATTATTTTTCTCCATATTTTTTTCCTCTATAATCCCATCTATAGTCTCATCCTACATTGAAATTCTGTATTCCTTTTTCTGACTTATTGCTGCCACCACCACCACCAAATTTCGTCCCATTCTGTTCTTGGGAAATCCTGTTAATGGACAGATAATATTATCCCAAGGCTCTTTATGTAATTTTGTTTCTAACATTCCAAAGTATTAAAAAGGAAAAATGAAAGAAAAGAGAAAACCCCAAATATTGAGAAATTCTGCTATAGTATGTACAGCTATAGTATTGCAGTGGACAATAGATTAAATACTTTTCAATGCTATGGTTTATTTCTGATAATTTTATCAGATGAGTAATTAACCAGAGAACACTTAAGACTTTAAAAGGTCCATATCTTGCCTTGTAACATGAGTTTACTGCTAGGAGAGGAAAGAATTCCCTGCAACAAACCAGGATATCAGTTTCAGAGAATTCCACAAGTCAGTACAAAGGTCAAAATTAGCCAAAATGAAGAGCTAGGGGCAACTCCAACTGTGTGGAGGGCAAGAGCTTGGAAGTTGTTTTTCTATAACCTCAGAAACTGGCATAGTTTTGAAGTTGAGCTAGAACAGTGTGTTTCTCTTTTCAAGATGATGTGCTTATCATCACCTTGCTTACATAGCAGGTGCAACATGTTCTTCAATTAGTCACCTTCCAGAATCTACCTCCTCATTGCCTGAACTCAGTCTTGTTCAGGCTCATGTCTCTTGAAGCTGTCCTAAAGTGATGGTCTGTCAAATCTGCCTGTTTAGCCTCTGATTCAAGCAAAGCTGTAACTTCACCTCCTAAGGCACAGCATATTGACACGTGTTAGTTTCACACCCAAGACCAAAAGCATTGTCCTCAATAAAGATAAAATGGACCAATTGTGGCAGAATCTGCAGCTAGAGGGGGCAGGAGTTAAGAGACTGGCTAGCTTGAAATCCCTGCAGGGGAGGAAGCAATGGAAACTTGAACCCTCCACTCCTACCCAAAATTCCGGGATCCCTTATCTGGTTGTTCCCAGAAGAATGCACTTCCCATAAATGGGCGATAGCAATAAAGAAACTTCTCTGACCAGCTCACAGTGTCATTCTGGTTCCCTGCATCTGACACCAATTAAGTAACAGTTTTGGTGTCTTTATTGCTGCTTAATACACTTAACAGTAGAATACAGTTTGCATGAAGTTATTGAAATGGCAATACTTATTATACCACATTCTTCAAGCAATTAAGTACTGAACTATTAAATTCTGTCTGCATCAAATGCAAATTATTACTGGGAATAACAGCTGCTAAGACTAGAATACCAGTACTCCTTATAAGCAATAGCACAATAACATTTCTGTCAGCTGGCTAATCAAGCATCATAATAATACTATCATGTTCAATCCTATTATAAAATCTTTTAATTCCAATATGCAAAACTGTTTATTTTAAAATATGGGTAGTTTAATGCCTTATGCACATATATCTATGCTTTCAAGCATTCAAAATATCTTTCATATACAATACTTTGAAAGTAATGATTTTGAGTCATGTTGTTCCAGGTGACGCTGCTATCATAACAGAATGCAAATAAATTAGTACTCTATATCTTATAAGTGTGGATGCCTCCTTTGTTGTAGGAACAATTTGATAAAAATTTTTAAAAAATGTTGCCTTTGGAATGCAGTTTTATTTGACCTTTACATAAATATTTCAGCCTGTAGAGTATAAACATCTAATATCTTAAACAAGAGACATTTAAGTAGGAATTGTATATTTATTTTTACAGTACTTATGTTTAAAGTTGCTTATCATGTAATGATTCACTGATAGATAAGGTCTTATGCTTATGTCTGAAAAATAATCTCATTACTGTCAAAAATGAAAATGCAGTCTTAACATTTACTAAATCATGTTGATTTGAAGGTCATGTTAGGGTTTAAAGTGACACATAACATAATTATGCAGAGATTTTATGCCAATTGTATATAATTATTTAGTGTTCACAGTCACAGAGATCATGCAACCTAAACTGTCATTGTAAAAATACCAGTCATTTGCTGGTATTCATTTATTTCCTTTACATAAATTTCACAATGGCTGTTCCGCATAGTATAAATTTTTAAAGTTATCTACACTTTATTTTGCTATCTGTTCAAATGCATATAGAATAAATTGTCTAAACCAGCAGCCCCTTTGGGCACCAGGGACCAGTGCCGTGGAGAAAGGGTTTTCTGTGGACGAGAGGGGGTGTGATTTTGTATATTGCCTACATCCCATGGATGGGGCTTCGCTTGTTTGTGCAGCCTGGTTGCTGGCATGCCAGGGACTGGTGCCAGAGGTTGGGGACCTCTGGTCTAAAAGTCTAAAGATTATCAAATAAGCTTGATAAAATAAAAAGTGCTATTTTTTTAAAGCAAAAGATGCCACATAACGGGTTTCAAGCTAACCTTAATTTTAAAAAATCCCAGAACCCTGATCAAGAGGCAAAGGTCTGGAGATAGAAATTTGGCAATAAAGCTAAAGGGGTTGTAATTTATATAATCAAATGTATGTAATTAAGTGATTTGAATTTTACAAAAATTGATGCTCCAATTACCATCTTAGAAAGCTCCTTTGTTTATTATTTTGAAATATGAAAAACAAACTGATATTATGAATGTAAAATAATATTTCTAATATAACAGATAACAGATAATCAGAGTTGGAAGGGACCTTGTAGGTCATCTAGTCCAACCCGAAGCAGAACATCCATATTCAGTCACAGTTTTGTTCCATATAGCATAAATCTTGTGAATTCTCAAGTTTCCTCTTTTTGCTATGTACTCAAAATGGGCAGTGGGCAAATACAATGATTAAAAATTACTTGGGATATTAATATATCATCCAAACAAACAAATCAGTGTACAATGACTGGGATTAGATTGCTTAGCCTTAGAAAATTGCTATGGACACCCTGGGCCTCCTTCTTCCTGTCCTCTTGGTCCTATGGAAGAGTTCCATGAAAAACAGTTTGAAAAACTCTAGGATACAATTTCTTTTGGAATGTCTTTGAAGTTTGGAAATTCCTCCAAGTTCTAAAAGAGATTTTACTTTGGGCTAGAGTTAGAATTAGATACATAATTCTTTGAATCCAGTCCAATCTCTAGTCTGCTTGACAGATTCTAAAAATAGAACATAATAGAACTTTTCTTAAACATAAAGGGAAAATCCAAGAAAATTTAAAATAAAACAAAAAAGAATAGCACGGTAAAAGTCATATATGAAAATATATCAGTCTCAGATTAGCTCAAATGAGTTATGACTAAGGTGCTTTGAAACAAATGGAGGATAACATAGACATGATTAATTGTTCAATTGGATCTTGATTATGATTGATTTCAGTTGGACTGAAGTCAATAACAAATAAAAAATGTCAGTCATGAATTAGCATTATCTGCCAAGAAAATACTGCAATATTCACCCAGAGATCATAAAACTACAAGCCTGTGTGAACCCAAGGCTTTCTATCATGCTATCTAAAATGATAAAAGAAAATGTCGTAGCTGGATGTGCTATAACTAAAGAGGACATGCCTAAAGAGTTTCTGCTAAATCTTCAACTGAGGAGGTAATCTCCATAACAGTGTTGCTGAGTGGAAGTAAGAGAGAGAAGACAAGAAACAAATGGTGATCAGCAGCAAAAGTTGATGAGGACCCATGGTTTTATTGAATAACTCATGGGGAGAGTTATAAATAGCACTCCGTGCTGCTTGTTAAATTATATCATTATGTTTTCTTAGACGGGGACTATTCATGAAAGGCT